CCATTCAGAACGGAGATTTTAAAAATACTGTAGGTGGCAGAAAGTAAAATTGGCATTCGCTTTCATTGACATAAAGTTCATTTTCTGACAAAGATCCATGGTGGTTTAGGACTCCGATGGTATTAGGCACGCTTGGTATTGGGTAATCTTCAGCACTGAGGAAACAAGGTGAATGTAAAGTATTGAGTTTTCCTCTTGCATTTATTTGTGAATTGGGAGTAATGCTCCCAACACCAGGCTCCCATGGATGTGTAATAATGAGCCTGATTTACATGCGATGGCTGCATTTAAGATGTTATCTAGTGCTTTCATTTAAGATGTTATCTAGTGCTTTTTCTTTCTTTGGGTCTCTTGCAACCTTCTTTTTGTTAAAACAGTTCCTCCACACGTGCTCCCTGAGCTGTGGTGCTGAAGCCAACAGAGATCGTGGTTCTGTGGTGGAACATGCCGTGTAATTTCTACCACGTATTAACTGGACGGGTGTCCAACATGCCAGGATTTCTAAAAATGCATTGCACAATTACAGGAAGTGATGAGAAAAAATGGTGCCCATTTCTTTGTCTTTCAGAACAGCAAGACAGATTTATGGGAGGGGAAGAAACGAAACTCCTAAGGAAAAGACTGGGAACTAACTCAGAAAACGGCCAGGTTTAGCTCCCTGAAATAGAGAGCTTTTCAAACCTCTTTTCAGGTTTTCTTTGTTTTTTGTTCCATAGTGACCTTGACTGTGGGATCAATGGTTCATACCTGAGATACACTGAGGCACTAGTTCAACCTAGAAGGAGTTTGGGACATTAGAGGACAGGCTGGTTTTCTGTCCAGGAGGTGTGGACACTCTTCCCTTACTTCATGTTTTCCATGCTTTGCTTTGACGAATGGCTTCGTGAACATGTGTCTGCCTCAGCTTTTCAAGTCTGGGCTTCAAGAGCTGATGTGTGAACTTCCTAGAGCAAGCCCTGCGAATACTCAAGACAGCTACCTGATCCCATTGCATTGTCTTTTGTCATTTCCGAAGCACAGATTTTGTCGTTCCACTCCATCTTGACCTTAGTAGGATGAGTTAGAGTCTTAGAATTGCTGCTTTTTTTTTTTTAAGACCGCTTTTCATTAATTCTGCATTACCTTGCTTTTCTGAGTTTAAATCTTGAAGCTATACTTAAAGTACCAAAGAAGGTTTAGCCACACAGTTGCCGTTTGACATGGGAAATTGAATGACTAAGCCCCTGCATATATGCAATAGCCTGTACACTGCTGGGTAGATTGTATAATTGCTCTTCATACATTAAGCAACCAATTGCAGATTTGTGTACATATGTAGGTTCATCCTTTACCAATTTCCTGTCACTGATAGTTTCCAGGAGATTAAAAGAATAGCCGGTTCCTGTTTTTTCTCTTCTCTTTATTTTTGTCCTTTAGCAAGAATATTTTTGTGTGTGTGTGTGTTTAATAGCATTCATTCTCTAGAGAATAATCTCGGTCCTTGTTTTAGCTGGCCTCCTTCTGAGAGTGTGTTAAATCTGTAGCCAAGATCACAGGCAGCTCTGGGCAAATCATTGGGCTGTTATTAACCTGCCTCCATGGCAACTGCTGCTCGCCAGCCTGAGGACAAAAAATGTTTTTATTCTGCTGAGTTGCACAAAAGGTTCTAGTGATGCCTTGCACAAAATGGCCATTGAAAGGGGAGATGCAGTGATGTGTGTTTGTGCTGTACAGTCTCATATTTAAATCGTTTTACACTGTTGTGTTGGAAGAGGATATACAGCTGAAAAGTTGAGCGTGTTGGCCATATGGAAAGTAAAAACTAGCAGAAAATTGGAACTAAACTTATTTTAATACTAATTTTTGTCAGCTTGAGTTCACAGGCCTTCAGTCTGAACTAGGCAAACGTCATCATGGGTTTTCTGTTGTACTGTATGAAGATACTTGCTGACTTGGGGTTCAAGAGAGATATCATAAAGCAGGTTTCCTGGAAAGCTTTCCTTTTTTTCAGAAAACCTCTGATTTGCTTCAGTGCTTGTTTGGGAAGCTCGGTAAGCATATCTTAGTGCTTGATGAGCTTCAAATTTTAGCTGGTTTTGAAAGTTGTTCTTGGTAGTACTGTTTTAGGCTTGCTTTGAAACAAAGTTATAAAGCCAGCTATGTTGCTCAGGCATGGACTTAAGCTGCTCATAAAGAGTGTTCACAGTGGGATCTGTGGGGGGTCGGGCAGCCCCAGCACCGTGATGAGGTTGTGTCCCACAGTTAGTAACCCTCTGGCAGGAGGCTGTGCAGCTCTGCTGTCAGTTTGAGTGCAGAATGACTATGTATGGATGGATGCTGTCTCTTGGAAACGTGCTGGTTTGGGATGCTTCCTGCACTTGCAAGCTGGCAGCACGCTATTTCCCTGTGAACTGAAGTCCCTCTGCTTCCTGCTTTAGTCTTGGTACGAAGGTGAGTAGTTTCTACAGTTCCACATTTGGGCAGTTTTTTCTGCCTTGCTCAAAATAGTGTGGTTGCTTTAGAGACCTCTTAGCGTGTCCCTTGGCCTTAGTCTGCGCTGATAAAATGAAGACCACCCAAATATTGTGATGCTTTTTACTTGGGCTATAGAGGAAGACATAAAGAGTATGGCCACAAAGATGCTACATGCAGCTGCCAGTCGCTGGGAGGTGAGAGGGGGTTTGCCACTGTTGGCTTGCGTTCAAGGGTCTGTGGATTAGTGGCAGATATTGACATGTGTTTGGGTAAGGGATCTGACAAACTCTCCAAGGCGAATGTTCTGCCAGTGGCCTGGAAAACCGGCTGTGCAGTGTGGGGTGCTGGGAGGACAAGTACCTAGTTGGGGGGTGTTAATCATCAGTCCTGGATCTACACCAATTTTTAGTTTTGTCAAGCAGGCTGCTCCCATTTTCTGAAACCAGCAGCTTTTCTTTCAGACCTTGTCAGTCCCTTGGCTTTGCTTCCAGCTGTTTTTATTTCCTATCTTTGATGGGATCCTTCTGCAAAGCAATCTGTGGATCAGCATGATTAGATGATCAACCTCCTCTACACCAAGCAATGATCTAGCATTTCATCACCTTCTCCTTTAGGAGTGCGGCCCAAAAGGCCGTTCGTTTTGTGCTGGGCTGTGGCTACATGTGTGTTGAGCATTGCCTGCTGGATCGGAGCGTGGTTATTCTTGGATAATCCTTCACTGCTAATCCTGTGCCAGGTGCCAGCATTTCTTGGATTAACTCTTGGAGGTTTGGGCCTGACCCAGGAGCAGATGCTGCGGAGGCGAGGCAGCCTTACATGTATGACTGCTGTTGCGTGTGGCTTGTGAGCTGCACTCAGGCAGATTCCCCAAAGCGGAGGATCGCTCTGCAAGGTCTGGTGTCTGAACTCAACTCTGGACCTCTGTGATAAAACAAAACCCAGAGATGATTTCCTCTGATAGCGTGCATTTGGATTTTGTTTGCCCCGTCACTGCTAAGCTGCAGCGTTTGTTCATTTGGCAGTATTTTTGTCATGAAGATAGTTCCTACTGAATGCACTCCAGCTGTGGGCTTGACTATAAAAGCTTCCCAGGCTTGTTTCTGTACAATTAAATCTTGTCTGCAGTTAGCGAAGTGGCGTTTCATAAGTCATTTTGGTGGTGATAGCTGCTTAAGCCTGACTAGGACACTTGCTAGTGACTCTCTAAAAGAAGAGTTTCCCACTTATGAAATGGGAAAGCTTTCAATTATCAGATGCATATTATTCCTCAGTGCTTCAAGGAAGTGCCTGCTCTGCAACTCATTCATTAGTGGGAAAGGGAGGGGGATAAAAGTAAACTTGCCTCGTGTGGTGGATGGAGACTTGCTGATCTTTGTGAGGAATTTTTGGGGCGGGAAGATGTGATGTGATGTATGTGTTCGCCAGCTGTCTCCCTGCCTTCAAGTGCTTTGTCCATTTAGCGCTTTCCCGTAGAAGCAGCAGGCTGTTCCTGCGACGTGCAATGCTGGTTGCTCCATTAAGCGTTGTCTTAATGGCTTGTGTTTTGCACAGTTGTATGAAATGCACATTAATGGAGACAGCTTAATGCCATCACCCTGAAGTAATGAATTGGTATGGATTGCCATTACCATTATAGTGCAGTTAAAAGCTGTGTTTGTTTCCGATTTACATTTTCCAGCTCTGCAAGCAGATGGATTTTCAGGCCGCGCGGTCGGGAGGAACCTGGCAATTCAGCTGCAACCTCCTTATTACAGTGTTTGTAGAGCAGCAGTTACGGGGGGGTGTTTTGTTAACTCAGACTGCTTAAACGATACATTTCATTAAAACTATGATTATGCTACTGCAGACTGTATTCAGGGATCACTGTAAATCCAGTGTACCCTATAAAGCTGGAAATGTATTGTCTGTGTAATACAGCTTCATCTCACTGCTCTCGATAAAAATTGTTATTCTCTGGCCCCCATTCAATTTTTCTGTTGTTAAGATATCTGTATCCCTATAACCTTATACAGATTTATACAGAAAGATAATCGGGAGTCAGGGGAGAGTGGAAGTTTTGCAGACCTAAATGTATTCCTCTTCCAATGGAAGTGCAAAGTATCTTTTACTTTTCCAAAAGGCTTCATTGTCTTGGGTATTTGCTTCTCTGGCTTCCTGAATGGTGCCAGCATAGCTAGTGTTCCTGCCGTTAGTATCAGTAATGCTGAAACATGGTGAGCTCTGTATGAGCAGCTGAATCGCAATGGGTCACTTCAGACAAGTGGGTTTTTTTCTATTTCATAGGCTGTCTCATCGATCTCCTCTTGATCCTGTAAAGATAGGAGCACTCAGCCCACTTTCTGGGCTTTGAGTCTATACCAACAGATCTGTAGGTCACTGCTTTAGAGGATGATGCTGTCTTGCACCACCTATAGATTTTTGCTTAGCATGTCAATGCCTGGGCCTTTTAGTCCCTATGGCTTTTACCAAGTGGAGGACGGATATTCTTTTCCTCATAATTTGCTTTTTGCTCATAACGTTTCTTTTGCTTTCTCTCTTCTGCTTAGGTTGCTTTGAATGTTGCATTAAGTGCCTAGGAGGAGTGCCATATGCTTCGCTCGTGGCAACCATTCTCTGCTTCTCGGGGGTAGCGTTGTTTTGTGGCTGTGGCCACGTGGCGCTCACGGGAACTGTGTCTATCCTTGAGCAGCATTTCTCCACGACTGCCAGCGACCATGCTTTGCTGAGTGAAGTGTAAGTATGCCTCCCATTTCCATTATTCTTCATAACGCCTTCATGCTAAATGAGCAGAGACGGATTCAAACCTCGGTCTCCATCCCTCAGTATTAGGTTGCCTGTTTGTCCAGCAGCACTCAGTGGTTTTTTGGTGTTTACACACAAAGAACCAGAGCGTATATCCTGCTTAACCTGTTTCTATTGGGACCAACACTATTTAATATCTTCGTCAGTGATGTAGACAGTGGAACTGAGTGCACCCTCAGCAGGTTTGCAGATGACTCTGAGCTGAGTGGTGCAGTTGATACGCTTGAGGGACAGGATGCCATCCAGAGGGACCTGGACAGGCTTGAGGAGTGGGCCAGTATGAACCTCATGAAGTCCAGCAAGGCCAAGTGCAAGGCCCTGCATCTGGGTCAGGCTAATGCCCAATATCAATACAGGCTGGGGGATGAAGGGATTGAGAGCAGCCCTGCCGAGAAAGACTTGGGGGTACTGGTGGATGAAAAATTGGACATGAGCCGGCAATGTGCACTTGCAGCCCAGAAAGTCAACCGTGTCCTGGGCTGCATAAAAAGAAGCGTGGCCAGCACGCTTTCTATGAGGACAGGCTGAGAGAGTTGGGGTTGTTCAGCCAGGAAAAGAGAAGGCTCTGGGGAGACCTCATTGCAGCCTTTCAATGTATAAAGGGAGCATATAAAAAAAATTGAGATAGACTTTTTACCTATAAAGCTGGAAATGTATTGTCTGTGTAATACAGCTTCATCTCACTGCTCTCGATAAAAATTGTTATTCTCTGGCCCCCATTCAATTTTTCTGTTGTTAAGATATCTGTATCCCTATAACCTTATACAGATTTATACAGAAAGATAATCGGGAGTCAGGGGAGAGTGGAAGTTTTGCAGACCTAAATGTATTCCTCTTCCAATGGAAGTGCAAAGTATCTTTTACTTTTCCAAAAGGCTTCATTGTCTTGGGTATTTGCTTCTCTGGCTTCCTGAATGGTGCCAGCATAGCTAGTGTTCCTGCCGTTAGTATCAGTAATGCTGAAACATGGTGAGCTCTGTATGAGCAGCTGAATCGCAATGGGTCACTTCAGACAAGTGGGTTTTTTTCTATTTCATAGGCTGTCTCATCGATCTCCTCTTGATCCTGTAAAGATAGGAGCACTCAGCCCACTTTCTGGGCTTTGAGTCTATACCAACAGATCTGTAGGTCACTGCTTTAGAGGATGATGCTGTCTTGCACCACCTATAGATTTTTGCTTAGCATGTCAATGCCTGGGCCTTTTAGTCCCTATGGCTTTTACCAAGTGGAGGACGGATATTCTTTTCCTCATAATTTGCTTTTTGCTCATAACGTTTCTTTTGCTTTCTCTCTTCTGCTTAGGTTGCTTTGAATGTTGCATTAAGTGCCTAGGAGGAGTGCCATATGCTTCGCTCGTGGCAACCATTCTCTGCTTCTCGGGGGTAGCGTTGTTTTGTGGCTGTGGCCACGTGGCGCTCACGGGAACTGTGTCTATCCTTGAGCAGCATTTCTCCACGACTGCCAGCGACCATGCTTTGCTGAGTGAAGTGTAAGTATGCCTCCCATTTCCATTATTCTTCATAACGCCTTCATGCTAAATGAGCAGAGACGGATTCAAACCTCGGTCTCCATCCCTCAGTATTAGGTTGCCTGTTTGTCCAGCAGCACTCAGTGGTTTTTTGGTGTTTACACACAAAGAACCAGAGCGTATATCCTGCTTAACCTGTTTCTATTGGGACCAACACTATTTAATATCTTCGTCAGTGATGTAGACAGTGGAACTGAGTGCACCCTCAGCAGGTTTGCAGATGACTCTGAGCTGAGTGGTGCAGTTGATACGCTTGAGGGACAGGATGCCATCCAGAGGGACCTGGACAGGCTTGAGGAGTGGGCCAGTATGAACCTCATGAAGTCCAGCAAGGCCAAGTGCAAGGCCCTGCATCTGGGTCAGGCTAATGCCCAATATCAATACAGGCTGGGGGATGAAGGGATTGAGAGCAGCCCTGCCGAGAAAGACTTGGGGGTACTGGTGGATGAAAAATTGGACATGAGCCGGCAATGTGCACTTGCAGCCCAGAAAGTCAACCGTGTCCTGGGCTGCATAAAAAGAAGCGTGGCCAGCACGCTTTCTATGAGGACAGGCTGAGAGAGTTGGGGTTGTTCAGCCAGGAAAAGAGAAGGCTCTGGGGAGACCTCATTGCAGCCTTTCAATGTATAAAGGGAGCATATAAAAAAAATTGAGATAGACTTTTTTTCAAGGCCTGTAGTGACAGGACAAGGGGCAACAGTTTTAATCTGAAAGATGGTAGATTTAGTGTTATGAATTTATTTTAGTGACACAAATAACTGGGAAGTGTTATTCTGTCCATCACCCCCTCAGAAGAAGGTGGGCGGGTATTGTACAAACAAGAAAAAAAAGAGAGAAAAGACTGGAAAGAGCTTAAATGTTTGTCTGTGTGACTGTAGCCTTTGGAAGTAACCACCGTTGAAATATTTGGGGCTTTTGTGTTCCCGAGGCCTCTCCATGATACCAGAGGAAGGCCTGGAGGCCTGTGTCAGGGCCCGCGCCCAGCGCCCAGCCCCATGGGCGCGAGCCTCTCGTTCCCCTTGACACTGAGGGATGCGCAGGTCCCAGGCTCTGGGCCGGTGGTCCAAAGACAGTGGGCCTTACGCGGTCCCTCCAGCTGGACCACCAGGCTTTGAAAAGGCTTTTGTCCGGTGGCAGTGAGGAATTTTGCTCGAGGTGCGATTCATGACGACTGCGTGCTGGTGTCGGGATGCTGACTGGGCCTGGGTTCAGCCTCCTGCCCGCTGCTTACCATGGGGGAGCGCCAGCCACAAGCACCACGCGTGGCCGGCCCCTGGAGATGTCTCCGTCCCGGGGCAGGGGGGGCAGTTTGAGGAAGCGCAGCCGAAACCTGTTGAAAGCCTCCCAAGGGCTCTGGGCGGGGGTCCCTGTGCAGGCCACGTGCGTCTGTGAAGAGGGGTCCCACGCGGCATGTGCTTGTGGGCCAGTTTGCATGCACTGAGCCTGAGACTTCCACAACTGACCCCTTCCCGTCCCCCGGGAGCATTGGCATCAGTCCCACAGCACTGTTTCGGGGCTTCTTCCCCTTGCAGGACACCCTGTGCCCAGACCTGCCACACAGCTCTGGGACTGCACCCCACCAGGGTCCCATGTGTCCCCCCAGTGCCTCCCAACCCAGCTGCGGCTGGGCACTGCGTCCCCAGCTCCAGCACATGAGCCACAGAGACCCTGCAGTTACCCACAAAATTTAACAAGTACTTGTATGCTAGCAGCTACTTAGTGGGGAGTGGTAAGAATTGAAAAAAACATTTGAGGAAAAATATATTTCTCCTTAGAAAACTGGCAGTATGGATGTATAAAATTAACCTCTCTGTTCTGTGAATAGCTTCATCCAGAATAACCATCCCAACAATCAAATTACTTTTAAGAAGGCATAAGTTCTGGAGAAGTTGTACTAATAACAAAATACGACTTTTGGAGACCAGAAGAAATGTCGTATGAAAGATACGGCATTCTGGTCCTCCAAAACAATCAGGTTCAGATACTGAATCTGATTGATAATATTTAGAAATTATTCTTTCCATTTACCTCTTCTAGCCAGAGTAAAAATACCGTAAAAGTGTCATTGCAGATGGTAGATTTTTAAGGAATTGAGAACCTTCTCAAATTGTATCCCAGGGAAGTGCCTATGCCACGTGCCCTGCAATCTTCTTCCTCTGGATGGTCCAGAGTACCTGAAATGGAAGCATTTCCTAAATATTTTTTTCAGTTTTTTAAAATTTAATTACATTTTGGGGAGCTCCACACTGCTGTGACTTAAAGCACTGAAACTACCTGCTCACTTGGAAGTATCCTCCTGGGCTGTAGAGCAAACCATTCCTCAGGAGAAGTCACTGCACATTTGCTGAGTTTTGTATCACAGAAGTATCACTGAATTTGCAAATTTTTGCCAATCCATTAACTGGATTTTACAGGTGGAAATGGTGAATTTCAGGGTCTGCTTCCTTTCCCTAAGCCAAAGGAATCACCATGGAGCCTGGTAGTTCAGCTCCAGCCTTTGACATTTCAAAGTCCTATGTTGTCCCTGTCAGACATTCCCTGAGTTAGATGTCAAGATCGATAACAGGAAAAAAAATCTCCATAGTGGAGGCATGAAATTGTGGCTTCAAGCTGGTGACTAATACCAGTCAGTGTAAGAACTGCAGCACAAACAGGGGATGCTCAAGCAGATGCAAGACTAATGCACATCAGTATTGCTTACCTGTAGAAGCAGGATAGTTGTATCGGCACTCTCCTGCAGCCCGCTTGCTTAAAATGCATTAAGGAGCCTTGAACTGTATTTCTAGAAAAGGAGTTACCTCATACCTATTACGATTTGGGACGACTGACTTTGGTTTTATAGGACTGAAATCGGATTATATCTTTTTTTCTTTTCCATTTTAGAATACAGCTAATGCAGTATGTAATTTATGGCATCGCATCATTTTTCTTCTTATACGGAATAATCCTTTTGGCAGAAGGTTTTTATACAACAAGTGCTGTGAAGGAGCTGCATGGAGAGTTCAAAACAACAGCCTGTGGCCGCTGCATCAGTGGAATGGTGAGTAGCATTAGAAATGGGAACAGTCGTCTTCGCTTGCTAAAACCTGTTGAGCTCGGTTTGACTCCTGTGTTTTTGAACAACAATATATTGCTGCCTTCTTTGTTTAACTCCTTATGGGTGGTTAGAGTCAATCGCTGTTGCTGTTCCTTCTTTGAACTTCGAGGATGCTTGGTCAAATCCAAATTCTGCACATGGACTGTCAGGGTGCTACCGCGGCCTCCCTGTCATAAAGCTGAACCCACTGGTCTAAACTAAGTTGATGGAGACTGCTAACTTTAAAACACTCAATAGGAGACAAAATGAAATTTGTGCTTTTAAACATGGAGCACACTAGTGATGCTTAAAGGCAGACTGTAAAATGGCTGTGGTTTGCAGAACTATTTAAATAACAAATTGTAATGCCTCTGACTTCCATAGTCAGTTCTGCTTGAGGATGTCTGGAACCTTCAGACAAACAGTAATGAATGAAGCTTCGCAACATCTTTGCACTTGAATCAAGTATTGCTGTCTTGCTTTTGCAGATGGCAGAAGGCATACAAATATAATAGTGAGTCTTTTTCGCAAAGCTGAAACACTTAAAGCCTTAAAGTTACAAGCCATCTTCCCTTCAGTATACTTCTGTATTAGAACAAAATTTTAAACAAAGTTTAACTAAAAATAAAACTTCAGATTCTCACCCACGTTGCCCCCTAAGGCACACTCTGCAAGAACAGAAACATAACTATGTTTCTGAGACAGGATTTCAAAGCTATTTCTGAAAATCTGAATTCAAAGCTCGCAGTTATGGAGGAAGCTAAGCAGGATGACAGATCGCCCACGGGAAAGTGTGGGTGAAAAGAGAAGAGGCTTTTGATGTGATTGTTGCATTTTAATATACAATCTATATCCTGTACTTAAAAAATATGTACTTTCAGCTGGTTAAATACAAAGGACATGCATGTTTATTTTCAAGAGGGTTAGCAATTTTCCACTGTGCTGTTGGATACTTATTGAATTTTTCAAGAGCTAATAAAAATAAGACATCCGATCATTTTCCAGTTAAGCAGCTATTCACTCGCTCTTTTTCTAGCAAGTATGGTCTTCACTGAGGAGCAAAATCAGATCTAAAGCAGTGTTTTCCAAAGATCCAAAACACAGTAGAAACATAGACATACCTGCATCTCATTAGTGCAGACAATTGCTTGTGCAGTTGAGTAGTTGCAGGCACATGATTGCCAGCTGCTTATACAAATACCAGTGTGACACGTGGAAATACGACAGAAAAACGTGTTTTCATGTTTGCCAGTATTTGTCCACACAATGAAGGAGAGAATTTAGCAGCTGACTAGTGGCTTGGAGCTTTGATAAGACACATCAGTGGTTAGCGGTGAGAGTCATGGCATAAAAATGCCTGTATGCTGCTGTGTAGTGGTAGAGCTGCTTTAAAGACCAAGGTTAGAACAAGGTTTGCAAGGAGATACAGTATCTTAACAGGCTAGTGGCTGCAGCTGGGTACAGACAACAAGCTGTTGGACATACAGTGATTTTTTTTGCCTCTTTGATCAAGAGCTCCTCTACTTCTTCCTTCGTTACATTACCGAGCGAGGTCCTGAAAGGCAGCCCCTTCCACCGTGCGTAAGGTTATTACAGAAGACAGCCTTCTGACTTCCCTGAATTATTTGTGTTGGCTGTGGTAATGCAGAATAGCCATTTCCCACAGTTACCGCATTAAAAGTGAGAGCAAGTGTGTTTCTTCCTGGCTATTTTAGGAGTTACAGGCTTTGTGGACTTCCTCTCGTGCACACTTCCACATATACGTATGCAAAACCCCATTTTACGTATAGTGTATCTATTGAAATCCTTTAAACTGGTCCACTTGGTCCTTACCAAAAATCCAAAGAGAGAATTCTCAATTCTCACATAAAACATACAGGTCTGGTGTACAGCACTATCAAACACGAAATAGGGTATTTCAGTTCAGTTGTGTATAAATCAAAGGCTAGCTGGGTTTTTTATGGGCCTTAGTTTTGCAAGCACTTCCCCCTCCCCCCACACACCGCCTTCGTTCACCATAAAATCTAACCAATTGCTCAACCTTCGCTATAACATTTGCAGGGTCGTTCAGCGCGTCTGGACAAAAACCTATGAGGATGCAAACGTCCACCGCTGCAGCATTAGTTCAGTCTGTCAGTTCTGGGACAGGCTGAGACAACCTCCCCCCTCAGAGCCTCTCCCATCCTTGCTGTTCTTCTCTGGCACGCAAGTTTCAAGTGAGATAGTACAGCATCAGTGCTTTACGGGAAGTAAAGCTTCTCCAGTCCACCTACAGTTAAATAACAGTAAAAAGGGAACACACAAGATATAACAGCATTCCCCCGCTTTCCAAGTAGGATCCAAATCCTAGTCTCACCAGGAGGAGGGAACTAGGAACTGATGCCAGAGCTACTGTTTCACCATAAAACTTAGAAGAAGAGGGAAGAGGTCCAGTGGGAGGGGGAAGCTGGAGATTTCCAACGCAGTGAGTGCCATACTTTATAATCTTAGCAAAGAAAATGCACATCATAATTTTTTTTTAAAAAGAGCAAACCCAAACCAGCAAATTTCAATGGAAAATCCATGATTCTCTAAGGTAAAGTAACTAATTTTCTTCTTGGCAATGTGTATCAGATCAATTGAATCTTTCTGATCTGCTGTAACAGTTGTGGTACGTTTTCAAAAATAGGTATTCTCAAGTGTTACCTTCAAAATTGATTTCAATAAGTCAGGGAGTACGGGAGAGCGCTGTGAACATCGATTCACTCTGTTTTTTGGATTTGCAAGTTGTATAGAAATGCTAGTAAGTTACAGTTAATTAAAAAAACTCCTTAAATTGACTTCTGTTGGCTTTTTATTGGTTTTAGCCTACAACCAGCATCCTTGCTTAGCTAAGAATCTTGAGAAATTAATGGACTGCTCTTTCAGGAGGGCAAGCTGTTTGCTCGAGCAGGCTGGTGAAAAAGGGAATGTCTGATTTACTTTCTCAGTAGCACTTAAACTACCAAAATATTTGTAAACAACAAGAACACTGATTTTATTTGTGTTTGGAAATCAAATGTTTTATTACTTGATTTCTGAAAGTATGCTTAAAGATTATTTCAAAGCATTTTTAAGGAACATTCAAGTATTCTTTTCAAAGAATAAAGGTGAAGTGCTTGTGTTTTCTCTGCCCAGTTTGTTTTCCTCACCTATGTGCTTGGAGTGGCCTGGCTTGGGGTCTTTGGCTTCTCTGCTGTGCCTGTCTTTATGTTCTATAACATATGGTCAACTTGCGAAGTCATCAAATCTCTTCAGACAAATGTGACAGTTCCAGGGGACCAGATCTGCGTGGATATCAGGCAATACGGTACTCATTTTAATCCTGGTTAAATGCTTTATCCTTTCTCCTTGGTCTGTCTTCAGTAGTTTCGTCTCAGCCTTATCAAATGAACCAAATGCAAAACCATCTTGTATCTCTGAATGTGCTATTACTTTTCTAATTAATTCAGATTACACCGATCTCTTTCCAGATGCAATCAATTCAACTGAACTGGCAAGTCATTTATCTAAAATGATTTTGTAGCGGTTTCCAATACTATAATATTGGGTTTAAAAATAGATCAGCCTCAAAATAAACTGCTTAGAAACAGCGCTGAGAAATAGATAACCAGATTCTGGTTTTTGAACCCCCGTATGCATGTATTCTTTCCTTTCAAAAAGCTGTTTTTACATTTAAATATGAAGTTAACACCTGAACTTTGCTCTAACAGTTACTTTCAGTTAGAAGACCAAAAACCTGCAATCAAGAGTCTGCCTTAACTATTAATGAATTAATACTGCTTTCTGATGACACACTGAAATCCGAGGGGGGGTGCAGGTGGCAGGGGAGTGGGACAACAGCTTAAAATAGGGTCAGGCTTTTCAAATAGTTCATTCCTTAAGGTGAATTTTTCCTGAAGTTAATCTTTTCAGCTTCCCTTGTGCAGAAGAGCTTTTGTCACCGTTACTTTTGGCTTCATTTTAGCTAGCATTTTCTGGGAATGTTTCTTTCTTTGGACTAAGTCATTCAAAGCTGAGAAAACGGATTCAGAGTTGAAAAAGTAAGAAAGCTTGGGTTTGCTTTCCTGTCTGGGCTGTAAGTCCAGTAGGAGAAGAGAAGATATACTAATTTTAAAAGCAGGGAGTCCCACATCAGTTAAATGTTTGCATCCTATTTTGGCAACTGACAGCAAGAGGCTGGGAAGACGTTTTCTTCAGCCAAAGCCTAGGAGTGCAGGGGGAAGATGTGCTTCTCCACCTTTCTGCTTCTCCTGGTTGTTTCGCAGCTGTACGAGCGCCGTGTAGGGCTGTGCTCTTCCTCCGATCAGTAGAATCATTTGGGTTTCAATGAGCAGTGGGAGAGAGCAGCTCCTTAACAGGCGACTGGTGTCACTGAACTGTCCTCACTTTTTTGGGCGGAAGCGGTGGCTTCAAGTGTATATTGCAATTGCAGAGAAGAAGCTGGCTTTAAAGTAAATCCTATAAAATCTTTTTGAAAGCCATACGATCCTGAGATAATTTCAGTGACCTGCCCCTTACAGAGCTGCTAATTCCAACCAGCTGAGTTTGAAATGGAAGTTATATGGAGGAGACAAACTGGTTTCCTCCTGTTTCAAATGGCTTTTGCTTAAGCTTTACATCTGTTATGGGCCTAAAAGTTTAGGTTATTTTAAACCTTCTAGATCCTGTTGACTTTCCAGATTTTCAGTTGTGTAAGAAAAGTAATTGGGAGTACGTGAGGTGCGTCAGACTGCATTTTCTTGTAGCAGCGTTCACTTGACGTTACCTACTGGAACTAAAACAGAAGAAAATCCTTCTGTAATTCTTCTCCCTAGCTCCATATTCACACTCTTCTACAGTAGTTACTTGTTCAAGTAGAACTTAATCTAGTAAGTGCTATCCTGAAAGGTGCCAAGCACCTCCGAGATGCAGATTATCCCTTTCGGTGCTGAGTGGGGGAGTAGGCAGTATGTGACTGGACCCGAAGTGCAAAAACCCAACCAACCATTTGGCTGCCATATGGGAAAACCACATCTGAGAACGTATCTTGGCAGCAAGCCTCGGTGTGGGGAGAAAGCACAACTTGAGTGAGTTGCTTTAATTCCTCCCACCAACTCAAAGCTGTACTGGTCAACGCGCGGATGCCCAGAATGGGAACACAACTGGCAAGTGGGCGGAAAAGATGAGAGAGGAACAGAAAGCCTGTGTTGGTTGCTAAAATTAGCGGTTTCTTTTGCTGTGGTATTTCAGGTATTATCCCTTGGAATGCTGTACCTGGCAAAGCCTGTGGCCCGATTTTAGAGAACATCTGCAACACGAATGAGGTACAGAAACGCAACCTGTGTGCAGCTTTTGCCTACAAGTCACTTATGCACCATGTAATAAATAATAACTTGGAAGTTTTTGGAGAAAACGAATACTAATAGTGTAAAGAGGTTGATTTAAACCCAACAGTGAAATTATTCTGTTAGGTCATCCAAAAAATTTAAATTATTTCAGAACATTTTTATTTTCTAAAGCTTTGAATACTTTGCTACGAAGACGCTTTTATTATCCTTATTCTCTAGAACAGTTGAAACGCATTTTATACTATCCTCAGTTACTTCAATGTTTTTAACATGTTTTTTCTCTAGTTCTACATGTCTTATCACCTGTTCATTGTGGCTTGTGCTGGAGCTGGTGCCACTGTCATAGCATTGGTGGGTAGTATTTTTTGTTGTTTTATTGTGTAACATGTTCCTTTCAGGCTTAAGATGCTTTAAGATTAAATTTCGTGTATCTTAAAAATAGTGACACTAGACATGAGGGAGGGCGAGCTGTGATCGCCATTATTTGCTGCTATGGTCTGGCCATTACAGGTCAGCAGGTCCCGAACTTTTGCTTTAAGAAGTCATCTTAACCCACCTCCCCCATCCTTAGAATAAAATTCTTTGTACGTCCTTTGAAAATCATACTTCTGCCCGCTACTTCTATTTTTATGCCCGCTATTTCTTTTCATTTTTGTAGTTTACTTGACCAGTCGCCTGTAACCTCTTGGTTTTCTTGTCTGGACCCAGGCAGTTTGGCTAGTCCAACTCCGCAATGCCGGTTACAGGTAGCAGTTGGAAAAAGGGGACGTTAACGAGATGACTTGCTTCCTAAGTCTAACGCTTCCTCTAGCTGCCAGCTTCTAACCTCATGTCAGCCAAACCCAGGTGTAACACTCACTATCCGGTGACGAAATAGCCTTGTATGGGTCTGTATGTAGGTTATCCTCTCCGGATAAACGGCAAGTTATTTATCTTGCATCTTCACCCTGGAAGAAGCTCGCAATAACGTCTGTTGTAAAAGTATCGACAGTTGCCCAGATGGGCTTGAGCCGTCACCGTGTTGTATCTTACTCTCCTGTATTTTGTTCTCTTCCACCAGCTGATCTACATGATGGCTACTACATATAACTATGCTGTTTTGAAGTTTAAGAGTCGGGAAGATTGCTGCACTAAATTCTAAATTGTATAAGCCCAGTAAAGAGCTGCATTGCGTAGCTTGAAATACCACTGACACCCTAGGCTAAAAGTCTAGCTTTCTGAATTTTGTTACAGTAATTGTAAATAGCTTCAGTAAGCATCATTTAGCTTATCAGATTAATGAAATGACTTCTTGTATATGAACTGTGATGTGGATGAGATCTGGCTGTTTTTTCGTGTCGAGAGAACTCAGTTACTGTAGGGGTGTTTACAAATCGTCCTTCCAAGATGGGATGTTTCCATTTTCAAGTCTCCACTTGCTTTCTAACGGTCATCTCTAAAACAAGTACTGGAACAGTTCAGGGTCAGAATTACTGATTTATTCTTCATCCTGAACACCAAATACAGCCCCCCTGAGCATACAAAATACACATGACACAAAAGAAAAGGAATAGTAAAGTAGTGCCGGTCTCTTTTGGCAGAAATCAGAAGCCCAGGTATTATGAATTAGTTGGCTTGTATTTCCAGTGCCCGGATGATGAAGTTGATTATTTTCTTGTACTTCATTTTCGAGTAATTGCCAAATCATGCTCTCTCTGGAAGGAAATACATCCTTGTATTAGCTCTGCGTAAAAACAATCACATTCTTTCTTCCTTTTGGACCCTGAACTAGTAAGAAACGGCGTATAAATCGCTTCTGTTCTTGTATGGCTTGCACTTTAGTAACTGATTTCTCAGTAGCCAGATCTCAAAACTGTAAGTATGACCGCACGCGAAGCAAAACCATGCATAGATCACGGAGACCTTTTTACACTGCTGGGATGAAAAAAAAGGAGAAGTGAATCAGTGTTTTCAGATGTAGATTTTTTGCATGAAGTGTGGTGAAAAGAAGTCGGGAAGAGATGAATGCACAAACTAGAAAAAATCCACGCAATAACAGTAATAATAAAAAAAGAACCAGTTGCTATATATGATATAAAACCCTTCACCTGAGGTTGGACAATGGAAGTTTAAAACGTAGTCATAAAAATATACGATTAAGACTTCTTAACCCAGAGATTGCATGCTTTTGCTTAGTTTTGGACTCGTGTTTTGTTGTTTAATTTTTCAATATGTTAATGTAGCCTTGTTCACATAAATAAAACTGTTTACAGTTTCAGGCTTTTTCCAGGGGGAGGGTGGAATTCTCATCTGCTTGTTGGGGGAAAAGAATTACCAGGATCTGGGCTTGGATCTGCATAAACACCACAACCTTAGAAAGCAGTTCTTCTGAGCACCTCGTAGTTTACAGATTATGTAAACGGCCACGTGCAAAACTTTTTTTCCTGCTTCCCCCCATTCTGCATTTTAATTGATCCGTACAACTCCGTAGCTCATTTTATTACTGTTACACTAACTTTCTCTAAATTGTGAATAACCAACTGAAGTATTAGCATGCCAAATTCTAGAGATCTTTGAAAATAGCCTCTGTGCTTGTTTTAATAACAGAATGCTTATTAACGTAGAGTAACTTTTTTTTTTTGGTCATTATTTTAAAGAGCGTCTATTAATCTAACTAGCAGCTTGCTTTGCCTCTTGACATGCTCACTAGCCATCATGCTCACCCTTCTCTTCCAGATCCACTTCCTCATGATACTGTCTTCTAACTGGGCCTACTTAAAGGATGCAAGCAAAATGCAGGCCTACCAAGATATCAAAGCAAAAGAAGAGCAGGAGCTTCAGGATATCCAGTCTCGGTCAAAAGAGCAACTCAATTCTTACACATAAATGTTTGCCACAGTAATTCAGCAGAAGAATTCTGTAGCTCTGACAAATCAACAAATAGCTGCTCTGCAGTACAGGTGTGTGTCTACCAAACAAAATTAGAGAGAAGTGCAAAAGCTTCACATTCCAGCTCCTGGAACACATTCGTAGGGAAATCTTCCCGCGGGTAATCTCCCATCCTTTCATACAGAGAATGGAGGTTTTATTCCAGGCATTTTAAAAGGCAACACTTCACAATAAGTGACCAAATTATTCTTCTTCGAGACTTTTGGTATTTGGTATTTGACGTGTTCTGCGGCATGACGTCCTGCACAAAACCGTGGCAGGTGCTCCAGACCAGCAGGCAGTAGATCTCTGTACAGACCTTAGGCAAAGGCACGTGTACGCGGTGCGATTTAGTATCATCTCGGTTTATATACCAAACGAAACTGTGGCCGGCTAAGATTTCTGACAGCTCGTGCTCACGTGACGGCCCGGTTGCAGCAGTTCCCGAGCTGCAACAGGGCCGTCTTTGACCACTCTTTCCCTGGGCCACAGGAACAGCGCTCCGCTTCTGTGCCACACTTCTTTTTTACGGTGAAGCAGTCACGCTCCTGTGCTCACGTGAGCCTTGAGCAGATGTCCCACATTTTAACCTTTTTATTAACTATTTAATGGAATGTAGATCCCCGGATCTGGATAATGATCCCCTTTGAAAATAAATGTCAGCTTTGCCTTAATATTTATTTTCTATAAATGTCTTAGCATTTATACAGTGGCAGGAGACCATTATCCTACATTTTAAGTAAGTGAAAAGTGTTACCTTATTAAAATGACACCGATCTGACTATTCCAAATGAGCGGATGAGAAAGTTTGCAGAGTTTTACACAAACAATAAAAATTCCAGCCATAAAACAGAATACAGGATGTCCACCTTTCTCTATCTTGGTGCTTAGCAAATTTATAGTCAGTGCTTACGTGTTTTCCTTTTTACAAATAAATTAGCACATTAAGAAAACGTGGTGTTCAGAAAAAAAAAAAACAACAAACAAACTGGTGCCATTTTAAAGTCATTTCCCATAGACGTCTGCCTTCTAATTAATGTTTTTTTTCAGAAGCATTCAGTGATATCTTGAGTATTAGTGATGGTATATTTGGTGTTTGTTCTATATGATATATATATATATAAATGTTGGGGGGAAAAAGTAAAATACGTCAAGTCATTCGAAAAAAATTAAATATTCAAGTCATACCCATGTTAAGCTGACGTGTGGTTTGATAGTTTTGACTGTTTGCTGAATATAAATCCAAGGAAGCACACATTTCCTCAAGTCAGTATTAAGAGAAAAGGCAGTTCGGGGGGTGTTAACTTCAAATAGAATTTTTTTTGGTTAAATATTGAAGTCTGATTTGACAGTGTCAAAAAAGGGGCAAAGTTGATCAGTGTAGAGCAAATATGACAAAATAGCCTAGCGTATGTTCTTACCTGTTGCATGAAGGAGACATTTCTACAGCAATGCAGGTGATGTTCTAGCCCAGTGTTTGCATAAGGGTAACAATGGAGGCAGTGTCTTAAAGCCTAATTCTTTTCTAATTCAGTGTAGCTATTACTGGGAGTTTTTGAAGTTTTGTTTAAGTAGTCTAATATTTTTATGTAAAGAGCATTAAATTTTGCTATGTATAAATTTTTGTAACCTAACAGTGAATCAATATTTTCTATCAGTGCCAAGGGCTTCCTGTAGTTACATCCAAGTGTTAAAATAAATATTTGTAGATAATAGACAACACTCGTGTACGCTTATTTGAAAACAGACCTGACAGCTACCCTCTGCTAGCGCATCGCTGTGCTTTATAGTCTCTCTCTGAAGTTAAACACGTTTTGCTCAATAGTATCTAGCCATTTGCTTCTGTACTGGGAAAGGATGCCCCGTAGGCGTACGCTTCAGCATGGTAAGTCAGCGAGCGTTTCGAGCGTGACCTACTGGTAGTTGTTCCAGGCCAGCATAATGCAACAAGCACTCTCCGTCCCGTTCGGGCCGTCAGACCGAAGGAGTCGCTCAGAAATTTTGTACGTGCCAGCATTGCTGCAACACCAGGTGAAGCGGCGTGTAAAAACCAGGCTGGCCACCACATCGCGTTTTACCTTAATTAATTTCCGAAAGCAAAGTTTGCTTCTGTCCCATTTTTGGTACATCGTGTCTCAACACCCAATGAATTCACAAGACGGAGCTTTGGTTTTTGCCCCTAAATTCTGTCAAACTTGGCTTCATGTTCTTGTAGTTAGGTCAAGACGAGCAGCCTCAAATGCAGTGCAAGTTGTAATATATGCTGCCGCCCAAAATTACTTCATTGATAAAAAAATACTGTATTTTATACTGTAAATAAAGTTTAATGATCTTGCCTATAATCTACCTACAAAATACAAAGCTTAAATAAAGATGAGTTAAATAGCATTTTTATTTGAATCTCTCCATTCTGGGCTGGTTAATACCAACAAGGTGATACACGAGATAAGGCTGCTTTTAAAAGTGTTTGTTTCCCCTGCCGTAGCAGTGAAAGGGGCTTGTCAGCTTGGTTCTGTCACGCCCTGCTCTCGGAAACTGCGCAAGCCAAGGGTCTCCACAGGACACCTTTAAAAACGCGATGATGACTGAATGTTCTGTTACCTCTACACTCCTACTTTCACCTACAGTTTGTAACAGTTGGAGGGGAAGGGGCTGGGGAGGGGGGAGGGGAGCACCACTTGAAAAGCTGTCGAAGTTTATAGGCGTTCAGTGCCAAAGCCCATCGACCTGAACATACCGATTTGTTTCTTTGCGCCGCTCTGTCCTTTCTCTCACCCCGCTCGAGGGCCTCCTTCTGGAACACATCAGGGCTCGCTATTTGAAGTCAATGACTGAAGTGATGAGGCAGCTCAAAATCAGCTTTATTAATTTATAATTATACAGCCTGCAATCTTTGCGACTAACATTTATTACTACTTCTTACAGGTAGAAAGCTGCTTTAAAACCACTTTTATTGTAGTAATAATAACAATTTCAAAAAATCAGTAGCTGTTGTTCACCAGAAGTTTTCATCCACATCTCCGTGAGAAATGCCTGTAGCACTGTAGTAAGGATAGGAGGGAGGGAAGGAAAGCCACGTGAGTCCAGAGTAGTTTCTTACCTTAAATATAAATACTTGTTTTAGAGAGAAAGTTAAAGTTCCGTGCAGTTTAAGAGACTGCACGTCATCACTGGCTTTACTTTATGTCTACCTATGCTGCAATTCTCCTGCTGATTCAGTGAACTGAAGGAAATAAGCAAGCCCTTGAGGGTGAGGATTTGGGCCTTCACGAACAGAAAGCCATCTCATCTGTCAAAAAGCAGTTCTATCTATCCACCACTTTTGTAGGGTTTGCCCAGCGGAAAGAACGCTGTACAGGCACCAGTTCAGGAGCACCAGGGTAAGGCCTGGTACGTAGAACAGCACTTTAAAGGCACAGATAATGCTGAATCATTACTACGGTTAGCGTGAGCATTTAATTTTTTTAACCATTCAATGTTTTTTGCTTATATATATTTTCAATTCTACATCTTCAAATAAACTGAAAGACGGGATAGACGTGGGGTTGGGTTGGTTTGTTTCCGTCCCCTCTGAAGTGACTAAAAACTACGTATCCTTATTTATCGACGTCTAGAGAGACCCAGAGGAAATGCCCTAGCTGTGGTAACTCGGTGCAGGCAGCCAAAATCTCTGAAAAAAGTGTGTGAACTAGTTTGTTAAAAGTCCACGATGCTACTGATAAAGCTAGATTCAGTGCTCATCACGGACTGTCTGCAAGGTGCAGCGCAGACAAACTTTCACAGGGTCATTACCCAAGAAGAATCCCTCACGCTTCAGCTCCCTGTGAAGGAACCGAGATGCTCCTCAGTGGCAGATAAAAAGCTTTAATTGCCACAGCTATCGAAACAGATCATTGGATGTAGTTCCCAGCTCCGAATGCCATACGGTGCGTAACGCCCCCGTCTAAGAATTGGAAGGACCCTCAATTTCTCCAACCCATTTGCTTTTGATTACTAGGTGGTTTATTTCGCTCTTTAAGGCAGCAGATGCCTCTCAACTGTAATTCATACTGTAACTCTTTATTAATATGGGGTAATAGAAGTGATTAATAGTCATATATGAGCCTTACCTGTCATCCTTTTCACTAGATGTAAGTCCCTCTGTAAGTGACACTTCTCCTGTCTCTTCTTTCTTTGAATCCTGGCAGCCAACAGGAAAATACACTTTCTGTAACTGGTTCTTAAGTCAAGCTTTAAGTGACTCAATAATAGCACCTGTACTTTAAGGCATCTAATTGAAAATAAAACCCCTATTTCTACAAATGCTGCACTGCACCTAGAATAATGACGCTTCGGAAAATCAGGTTGGGATAATGTCGGAAGAAAAGTATGCTGCAGTCTTTCATCAAAGTAATGTTCACCCGTGTACACACCTGCTCTTTAAGGTCAAATTTTCCATTTTGCCAGAGTAAATTCTGTATCAGTTGCGTTAGTGGAACACAAACTGACCTGTGTAGATTCAGACTGTATTTAAACACAGATTAAACTAAAAATTGAGGACACTTAAATTTAAATACTGTCCTAGTACCTAAAAACCAAACAAACAATGCCTCCCCCCCCCCCGTCCCAGCATACCAGGGGGAAAAAAAAAAAAACGTTTAAGAGAAAGAGTGTTCAGTTTTTCTCTTTTGAATCAACACATTTCTGCAATACAAATCCAAACACTCATCCCTGCAGCTTCTGAATGAAGAAAAATGAAAGAATTTCTTTTGAATCAACACATTTCTGCAATACAAATCCAAACACTCATCCCTGCAGCTTCTGAATGAAGAAAAAAATGAAAGAATGAGAATGTTGTTTTCATTCTAAGCATATTTTAGCAAGACATAAATTCAGCCAATAATATTTTTGGGACCGAGTTTTGAGAGTAATCACCTTGTTTGCCCGTTCCTGCTCTCTGCTCTGCTGAATTATTCTCATGTATTTTTCTAATGGATTTGGAGTAGGATCCTTTAAGTTGTTTTCAGCACCAGAATTATTGTTTTCAGATTTTCCTCCCTCATCTTCTTTTTCTTCATCTATTTTCGAGTCTTGGATCCACTTTAAGACACAAAATCAAAATTAAATACCGATCAGCTCAGGAAAAGTACCTTTATACCTAAATACCTGCACCACATGCAGGATTTTATGTTACCCCCAGTAAAACATGCCAGTCTAAACAGCATTAAATTTGTTACAAGCAGTTCAAGATGAAGTGTTAAGCTATTGCTTCAATTCAAAAAGTGACATTCAAGAAATCCCACTCTGACCCTGTCTGGATGTCCGAGATGCTGTGAGGCCTGAGGCTTCTACGTATGACATCCACATGTGAATTGAAGATGACGGGCTGACACAGGTATGCAAGTTTCTTGAAGGGCCTAGTTTGCTGGTGTGAAGGGTAGGTAGCACGAGCATGTCTGATCAGTACACTAAACTGAATCGAATTAACCAAGGTTTAAGGGCGGGAAGAGGAAGACGAAATGGGAGGGTTTTATACAGGTCCTAGAAGTCCAGAACACTACCGCAACACATGCTACATCAGCTCAAAGGGATTTAAGCAAACTCCTTAAGGTCTCCTTATAACTTCTGCTTCCGAGAAAGTACCCTAGGTACCCTGGTACAGGCTAATGAAGAGATGGACATTAACGTGTTCTGGTGGTGTCCCACCAGCAGCGGTCCAGACCAGAAAGTCAGCGAGTGTATAGCTTGTTCCGATAGCATGGTGGCAGCTGCCTTCTACGTTCTGGCCGTAGAACTGTAGCTTCCGGTTACATGAAGCACGGAAAAAAAAGCATCTGTTTCCAGTGAAAAAGTTACTTGGCATAAGGAGAAATTCTAGCGAGACTGGTTAATCGCACAAGTACGTAAAAGAACTTAGCCTCTACTACTTTCACTTAAAGAATAAAATCTGGTTTTAACCAAGTAACACACGCAGCAATCCTAAAGCACATGGCATTACAAAGCTGCATTACTGTCAGAAATTAAAATACTGAATCACCACCTCTTTGTTAAGCTTTTCCGCTTCTTTTTGCTCTCTTTCCAAAGCTTACTGTTGTTCTGTCTCCCTCCTTTCTTCTTCTAAGTTCTTCTCAACTTCTCTATCCTGTTCTTCAATCTGTCTTTGATCCAGCACCGCTGCGAAAAATTATTTCAACATCTGTGATTTGATTTATGTAGTTCAGTAATCTACTACAGTAGCATACAAATAAGTAACAGGTTGCTGTATAACATTAATAGTAAATGAAAAACAACTGGATATATTGTTTATACATATGCCAAAGTTATTCTTGGGTATCTGGTAATGTTTCTTCCCACCTCTATACATTTTTAGTCTGATACATGACTCGCTAAGAGTTAAACAGCAGAGCCAAAGTAGAGGCCAGAGGGTTGACAAATCTCTCCATGCACTTCCCATTCCTACCATGGACTTTCTCATTAAATCTCCGTTACCCTGAAGTTCATGTTGCTATATTCTCTCCCTCTCTGCAATACGGTTGGATACAATTCTTTATATTTATAAAGCAAAGTACTTAAAAAACCTTGGAAAATTATTGCAGGACACACTGCTGATGTGACCAGTATATTTAAAAAGCTGTGTAAATGGAACAGCGTTCAGGTAGTAATTAGACGGGCAAACTAAATACTGGGAATTGTTAGAAGCTAGAAAGCTCTTCTCTTCAGAAAAATAATCACAATGCTTCCATCTAGAACAATTAGAAAAGCGGCACGTGCTGCACTGAAATCATCCTCATCTACCCAAAGAATTAAAACAGCATGGTGATGATACAGTCTGCGAACAGAGTCAAGAAAAATGAAAAAAATCCAGAGAAGCAATACATAAAGTACTTTAAACAAAACAAAACCTTTCAAGTCTTATTTCTATCAAAAGCAGAAATAATATTTAATAATTATCCTAAAGAGAAAAGAAAAAAGCAAAATCGTCTCTTCAGAAGCTGAACGGGGGGTGGGACAGGTGGCAAAAGTGCTTAAATGAAAAACAAATTCAACCAAAACCAGGGTGAGAGAGGCATCCTCAATACAGTAAAGCAAAAGAAAACACTCCTTCCTCTTTATTACATCATTAGCACTTCTGGAAAAATTTTTCAATCACACCAGCACACATACCTACAGAATGTTAAATATTTGGCTTTTTGTTTTATACGTTTGACATTTAGAAAGGGCATTCACTTTTGTTTCTGAGCTGAGAACTCACTTAAGTCCTGCAGCGAAGTGGCTGTTGCTGGCACAGTGGCTGTGACATGGTTTCCACTGACGATGTCCCCAGATGGATGCAAGGCATCACTTTCACACTGCTCTGGAATGTCCCCCTGGTCTGGAGAAGAAATTTGAACAATGGCTTCATTATTTTC